AAAAAAAAAAAAAAAAAAAAATCTCGCTTAACAAGGAAAAATTTTGCATCCAACTTAAAGCTGTAACGTAAGCAAAAGTTTGTAAAACTTTGTCTCATGGTTGAGAAAATTCTCCCCGAATTCTGGCCGATCTATGTCTCGAGAAGATATCCAACGAGAGCGCTTAAAAGATTTAGGAGAAAATTTCTTCGTACATCCAAAGCTTTGAAGTGATAGGCGTGATTTGAATGCACGTTCGATGGACCCGCTAGTAGGCTGATCAAGTACAAAAATTGCTTATTTTGCCTCTGCAATGTTTATTCAAATTCCTAAATAAAAGCGTTTGACAAATTTAATATATTTCTCGTGTGTCATACGTAGGCATACGACACCACGGGGAGCATTGGAGATTTGTTTTCAGTTTCGATTCTTAGAAGGCCGAAAGTTAATATACCTGGCTATTGAAGCACGCAGGTACATTGATTTTGTCAAAACGTTTACAACAACCAGGAAAGAGAGAAAGCTTCTCTCTGCGGGCCTACAAACTATATATTACGCTAACTCAGTACAACAAGTATAACATAAACTGACAAGATCTTCGCTTGCGAAAGCAAAAAAAATTGGTTTATTCCTTTTTACCTTTATGACCTATAGCAGATAACAACAAAGCATATTTTATATTTATAGATGAGAATGAACATATAATGCGTATATAAAACTGGGAAAAATCATTTACGCCCACCCAGGTTTTAACTATCGAATATTCATTGTTTTCGTTTTTTTTTTTTTTTTGCGCTTTTTAATAAAGTGTATGGATGGAGAAGATTCGGTCCTTGTCGAATCTAATTTTCTTGTTAATATGTTTCGAGATCGAGAGATCAAGATCGAATTTTGTTAAGCATTCGGAGCTTTTACTAATGACCAATTAGTCATTACATGAGCGATTGAAATGATCAAACTTTGGCCCTGGTTGAAAGTGTGTTTATGCTTTGAACAAAATAAATAAATGCAATTAATATATCCTTCCCCGACATCTCGAAATTATGGACGACTTAAATCATTCCTTCGGGTAATTTACTTATTAATTTTTTTTGAAATAAACATATTTTGAAGGCTGGCTTTGTGCCATACCCTTTTCAGATTTAATATGTATGACAACAGAGCTTTGTTAATCTAAAATATTATGCAAAATATATGTATAAGCAAATGTGGCAATAAACATGTCGCTGAAATCAAATTTCATTCAAGGATTCACTTTAGACGCAAACATTTTTGTGCAAACACGAGGAAAATTACTAATGTTTGAGCACTTGTGTGTGTGTGGTGTGTGTGTGTGTGTGTGTGTTGCGGGTGAATTTTTTTTTATTCATACCCGTAGACAAGGACCGTGAACTTCACTTGAGGATACTGAACATTGTTCCTTCGCCGCTAGGGCATATTGCGCTACATTATTCAAACTATATATGCGGAAAGGAAAACACGGCGCAGATTGCACGAATTGCTGAATTGATGAACTCATGCTATTGTCATCGACACTAACTTGCAGTCGCTTGTGTGGCGTACAACATCTCTTAATGGACACCTGATAATAGTAATTTGAATAACGGACTTAGTCCACCCACCCATAACATCTTGCACGCATATATATTACAATTAACTATACCGTTAAAACAAATTAGATTTTGATTTTTTCAAAATGCAATATTGTATGGAAGAATATAAAAAGTAGATGACATTAATTATTAATAAATTCTTTTTTTTTTTTTTGGAGTTACAGGTGAATAATAAAATCTAAGCTAAACGAGTGCATCTTGCATTGTCAAACTGTATGCTAACTATATAAAGAGTGTTTTGCATTTAGATCTCTATATAACTTTTATTTTTTTCTTTTTTAAAAAATTCGAATAAAAGTGCTACGGCACCGGTACATTGATTCAACGGTCAACGTATATGTTTATTAAGCAGATAGATCGTGGACGTGGACGTGGACGTGGACGGGGACGTGAACGTGGACATCAAAACTCAAACAATAGTTAGCTGACAAAAATGACGCGACAAACTTGTAAAAAAAGCAAGCCGTGAAACATTTGAACGTTTAATGCATACTTTAAAATATCCGAGTTGCAAGCTTATTTTGTTGCAATGCAAAGCACAGTTTTTGTATAAGCACGGGAAACGTGCATTTCGTAAATAGAATAAACGAACGAAAACAAAAGAAAAGAAAAAATGAACGCATATTTTCCGTCCGTTTTTGGGATATAAAGCATTTTTTTTTTTTTTTTTGTTTGTTTATATGATTGGATTGGTTGGGTGTAATCTTTCTTTTTTTGTTACCCACGACAAATATTTGTGTTGTGTTTGTTGTATTTCATGCTCTTTACAAATTAATAAACACATAACGAATATTGAGTAGAAGAGAAATATATATATATATATATATATATATATATATATATTATGTATATATAGTATCAATGTCTTACATCGTATTGCGGATAAGATAAACGATTTTCGCGCGTTGTTGAATTATATTTGGGTGATGATGAGTGTAACTGTTCCTGCATGGGGGCAAAGAAGAAGAAAACAGGAAAACGGATATACAAAAGAAATAATAAAGAAATTCAATTACAGTTTTCTTATGTTGGTTAACATTCTATTCTAGTAGTTTGTTTATAATATATGAAAAAGAGGAAGAAGAAGAAGAAGAAAATATACATAACACAGATGTAAATACAAATTGAACAACGTATATATATGTGGTTCAGAAAAAAAAAAAAAAAAAAAAAAAAAAAAAAAAAAAAACGCGACAACAAAATGGGTTAACAATCGGTATTGTATGGTACGGGCATACGGTTTATACCTGAGATGGAGTCGACGCTTTTGATGAATTATTATTATGATTCATTTCGCTTACACTTTCATCAGTGGTGGTAGGACTTGGTTGCTGCTGTGGATGTTGTTGGTGTGGTTGATTAAGGTTTGACTTCTTTTATTTAATCGAATTGAATTAAATTGAATTGTGTTGTTATTATTATTGTTATTATTATTGTTGTTGTTGTTGTTGTTGTTGTTGTTATTCATTGAAAATATTAGTGTCAGGAAGAGCAGCAAAGAAACAAAAGGTAGTTAGAATGATTGGAATAGCAATTAGTATAAATATGATAATTAACCAACAAATGAAAAAATTTCGATTACTTAAGTTTTTCTCAATTACGATACAACACAACAAACACGATTGACTAAAAACGGATTAAAGACCGATATTAAAGTCGTTCGCAACCATTTCTCACCTCTTTTTGTGGACTAGAACTTCCGCGTTGATGATATTGCGAAGATCGGTGGTATTGGTGCGTTGCTTGGGACGGTTGCCTTTGATGTTGTTGTTGATTATGATTATTAAGCTGATGTTGCCCATCATACGGCTGATGTTGCGCAATTTGCTGCTGGCTATGATGCTGTGCATTGTTGCCAAAGGCATCTTCATATGGTTCATCTTCGGACACAATTGCCCCACTTCCACTATTGCTACCGACCTTGGTAGCCTCCTTAACTTCCTCCGGCGTCACTTCAACGTTATCCAATTTCTTTAAATTTGGTAAAGCCTTTAACACAATCGCTCGATAACTATTCATTAATGAATGAAAATATTTCAGTTATGCACATATATGTGTGTATATGGACTTACTTGGCGCCGGCATGATCACAGCATGGATTCTCCTCTAACCACAAATACTTTAAATTTGGAAGGTTTTGCAAGTAGGCAATCTCATTGAGGTCCTGTATATTATTTTTACGTAAATACAATTCCTGTAGTTTCTGGCAGTCTTCAAATGGTTGCAATGTGGTGATCTTGTTAACACTGTTTCGATTGAATTGAGAAACAAGAACAACGAAATATGCATGAAATACATTTCAGTGGTAATTTAAAGAATTGTATGAACATTGAAATTATAAGTTAGCCTCGCAAAAAACGACAAGCTGCCCTTTATGTTTACATTTACGTTTGAGTGCAGAAAAGGGAATTACTTGAAATGTAAGGAAAAAAAGCTTAAAAAGATATTCGAAAGGCTCTCTTAAATTTTTATAATATTACTGATCAGAAAAATAAATGTTGACAACAAAAATAAACATCTGACGGTTCATTTTAAAGTAAGTGGAGCTCCGACAAGTCCTTTTTATTCATGCGCTGGCCTACGGTTGAAGGACAGACAAATGCCGGAAATTAAATTCTCTCACTTATATTATGTAAGAAGATCTAAGAGCGTTTCTACATCATTTCATACACTTGCCGGATAGATGACTAACTGAAGAAAGTATATTTTTATTGACAACTTTCGTACTACTTCGTTTGTCAACACCCAAGCCCGAACTGACGGCATTATACATTATGAATTTTGGAATCTAGTCCTCTCCACCTTTCATCTATTTCTTCAAGTTTTACATTTTTAAGAATTTTTATTTCGAATATTTTAAATATGTCACGGAAAATTCCTTCGGAATCCATAAATGAGAGATCGGTAAATTGAAAAATCACTAGCGAAATGCAATTCAGTTTCTTGGAGAATATACTCAGGAACAAGGAATGATATTTCACTTGATTAATTCATATGTTTTTATTATGAGGTAGCGAAGTTTTTCAATGATCTAATAAACTGCTGTCAGAATTCGGTGTAACTACGAAAATATCTACATTATTATGTTATTTAAATTGGATAATTTATTTGCAAATACTCAAATGATAGGCGGCCACAAGCAACAAAAGGAAATAAAACCTAAGCATTACAACTTAACTTTAATTGGAGAGGAAATTAAAACAAAGAATCAAGAGTAACCGAATCTCTTCTATACCCATCATCATTATCCGAAGGGATGCTTACAAAAGAAAAAGTGGGAAAAGTAAATCTTCACATTCTATAATGGTGATGGATGGGCATGGCTGAATTTTTGTTTATTTTTATAATATATTCGTGAAAATTCTTATCCCATGTCCAGTCATGTCGTTTTTACAAGCTAAGCAAGAAAAGCCACAACAACGCAGGAGTACTCTGAATTAATGTTACACTGCAGCCTTGTTCTATGAGGTATTTATCGCAATCTCAATACCAATTTGTGTGAAAGCATTTTCAATATTTTGGTGAGGTTAGGTTTTCTTGTTTGAGAATTTTTACCACAAAACATTGCATGAAGAGACGGAGGGATTCAGAATATATATAAACTTTGGAGAGAGTAACAAAAACTATATCAACAAGGGAGGTAGAAGGAGGGCCTACCACACGAATAGATTGAAAATGTCATTTGGCACCATTTGAACATTGCGATTTCATTGCTTGCCAGACAAAAAAAACAAGAGTTTTTTTGTGACGTATTGTGACTAACGTTGAATAGTGGATCTATTATGACAATTTCAGGCACAAAAAGTCATAGACTAGTCCAGGAGAGCCATCCACGTCACGACACCGAAGCGTAATATTTATGGCCATGAAATTTTGCTGCACAATTGGTGGGATCAGGAAGGTGTAGCGTGTTACGATCTGCTAAAACCGAATGAACGCAACGCTCGACCGCACATTGCAAGAGAACTGTTAAGAAAAAATACAATCTGTTGCAACTCGAATGGAAAACTCACTCGGACATACTCAGCAGACATAGCGCCTTCTGACTACTACTTGTTTAAATCGATGCAGAACGGGTTGCCGAACAAGTGTGAAAATGGGATTCGCTGCCAAACCAATATTGTTCTCTCAGCACGGTATCGGTAGAAAATGATGGAAAACATCTTCATTTATTTATGTTGCACCAAATTTTTCTTAATAAACACCTTTTTCAAGTGAAAAAATAAAAAAAAAATGCTCAGAATATATATATATATATATACAAGCACCTATTAATAACACTTTGCTCTGTTTCGTTTAATAATAGATGAGATCGTTCCGTTCTCATCCAATTGCCGCTTGTTTAGATTTCTTTATAAACAATAATAACTCATTGAAGACTATTCACACATTTCAACACATTGGTAATGCTTGCGTATAAAGCAATTCGGTTCAAGCTGATTACAATTTTTCTCTTTCTTATTAACAGTGAATTATCATCTTCTTTTATGATAATTTAAAAAAAAAAAAAAAAAATTAAAAGCAACGAATTAAATCATGAGAGAAGAAAATAAACGAAAATCTTTATAAAAATCTAGAACGGTAAGTGAATAGTTGTCGCACTTTGTTTGTCATAAGCTGCGATTATAGGATTATCTCATCTTTTATAAAAGTGCATTTCAGCAACAATGCAAAAAAAGAAGAAAAAACTCAAGTGTCTTAGTTTAAGTAATAAGCACTTGAAACAAAAACATGTAAAAACCAGAACGCAGGCACTCGAAGCATATGATGAGTGCATGAATTTATGTCACTATATATATATATTGTATATATATGTATATATATATTATATATATACAATTCCAATTGTATTTATTTGCACGTTTAGCATACCGTTGCGACGCGCATATTTTTGGAGGCAAACATTTTTTGTAGAGAAAACAAAAACAGTCGCTGTCACGGGTATGTAAACAAATACTTACTGCGAGAGCGGATATAGAGGCGATGCCGAAAGGAGCTAATTTGCAGTTAACACTTGCTTATAGCATAGTTGAGATTGTGTTGAATGATTGGCTGATTAGCTCCACGTCGTACACATTTTTTCCTCCGTATTAGATGATTAGAATCATCTGAAATTTCTATACAAATTTGTTAAGAAAGGAAAGACGTTAAGCTAAATACGTATGTAGCTTTATCTGCCCATATTTGAGAAATCAAATAGATGTGTAAAAGCATAAGAAAGGGCAAAATCATGCCAGTGTATCTGTAGTTGTTAAGCTGAAACATGTTGCAAAGTTCACTTTTGCAACAAAGAACGATCCTCCAATAAACCTGATCTCTGACGTATAAACCTTTGTCTATGTCCTTGCTATTGGAAATATTCAGACATCGCTCCATTTACTCTATATGTCCTTAAATGTCAAAGGAAAAAGAATGAGAGAGCAAAACTCAGTAACTCAAATAAAAGGGGCAAACCTAAGGTAAATTACAATAAATAATTTAGCGATAATTCCTTGCATTAATTTTTCTCGCTTTGATGTTAATGTTCCAATTTAATGGCGTCTCGCTACAAGAGTCGTATGCAAAAACATTGGAAAATTATATTTGGCTCTGGCCGAATCTTTTATTGCTAATTACCTTTATCTTAAAATGGATTATGTAGAATTTGTATTGCTGCAGTTCATGAGTAATGAACCGCAATAGACATATTTTTTTCTTTTGTTTTTTTGCTTTTGAAAATCAATGTTTTCTCACTTTACCTTATACGAAGGGGATGACCTTTAATCAATTTGTTCCATTTTTAATGCCAACATTCGTGTCGAAATCTCTAATGCGAAATTTCTATGCGACAAGGAGAAAGTTTACCGCAGACATTATTCAAACGGGCAGATAGACAGACGGACGAACAAATATGTTTGCAGCGTTCCAATCTATATGTATACCTGTTGCAAAGATTTTGACAACCCAAATATACTCAACATACTTGGGCGGCTAATATAATCGAGAGTAAGCGCAGTTAGTGCTAAGTGAAATATAATAGTTGAACACTAGAACTGTCGACGTTCTGCATACACCTATCAAAAGAGGTCCTCTTTGATTCCCTTTGTCCTTTGTAAGCTCGCCGTAATCGTAAAAGTAGAGATAAGCAGTTGAGACTTCGCAAAAACATACACATTGATCGAGTAAGAACAGAAGGTGAAAAAAATGGTTACAATGTGCTCACGCACACGCCCATAATGGATTAGAAACTGAAACGATCTGAACAGTTAGCAAAAATTTGTGGCCCAGATAGTCGCTGCGTTCACCCTCACGATCAGTCCAAAAATGATTCCAATCGGTTTACCAACATATCCAAAATTAAACGGTACAATTTCTAATCCTATTTATCGTCAATTTCCTTCTGATTTACGAATTATCTTACCAAACGAATTATCTTACCAAAAGCGTAGTTTTTTTTATTCAAAACTTATTGAAACTTATGGCTATGTGAAATTGTAATCACGGCTTTGCTCACTAATATATATATCGAAAAAGCTAATGAGAAAAAAAACATCAGCTTTTCTCATCTATGCAAAATAGGGAGCCCAAAGTGCATGTGTGCTCTTGTGCAAATAATATTTCAAGCATTAGTTTGCTTAAGTGCACTGTACTTACGGCAATAATGTCTTAGACCTTTTTGATCGCTTGCAAGTATTGTTAAATATTTTCTTGGGAATTAATTTCTCTTCTAATTGCTATTTAAAAATCAAAAAAAAAAAAAAAAATAGAGCAATTTTTTTTTTTTGCTTTATTTCTATAGTCTATAAATATAAAATTACAAAAAGATATAAAATAAACAAAGTTCAACGACATTTCATTTAAATTTATTTTATATAGAATTTCGCACATGATTGTTTTAAATATAAAAAGCCTACAGTTGCACACCTATATAATGCCTAGATATTCTAATGGGATCAGAGCGAGAGTATTTATATATAGATAAGACTGAAAGATTATCGCATACTGATTTGGTTATTCTTTTGGTAACAAATGGAAATAATAAG